TGTGTGTGTGTGTGTGTGTGTGTGTGTGTGTGTGTGTGTGTGTGTGGTCGTGTGGTCGTGTATGTGCTGTTTCTGTGCTGTTTGTTGTGTGCGTGCATGAAGGTACATGGCGCATGCGCATTCAATTGCAAGCGTTGAACGTCACGTTGGCCTCAGTTCCTGAGCTGTGTTCCCTCACTCCCCCCCCACGCCTCCACCTGCACTGTCACACTTGCCCACACTTTGTTTCCTGCCATCTATCAGGCATTGGCGCCGCGTCTGAAGGAGCAAATTCTTCGCCACAAACAGCGGACTGCAACCCGCGTTGAGCTTGCCAAGCGCTTCATCCAGCGGGTGCGTGCGTGCATATGTAAATCAAAGCAATGAGAGTCAGGGATAGGGAGAGACCGTGGCAGTGCCAAACAGATGGTGTGCGCGTATGCGTGTGCGTGTTTGTCACGGTCACGTTCTCTCTCTCTCTCTCTGTCTCTCTCCCTCTCTGTCTGTCTGTCTGTCTGTCTCTCTCTCTCTCTGATGCCTTCGTCTGTGTGTTGCTTAGTTGCATATTTTCCATTGACGCTTGGCTTTGCCGAGCCTAACACTCATGATGGCTTTGTTTGCGCGAATCAACACCTGCAGCTGAGTGAGTACAAGCGCAAGGACTCAACGCACGCGTATCGGGAGCGAGAGCTTGCACTGTGGTTTCTGCGACGGCGTGATGCAAGCACACTACTGTCACAATCGCTCACAGCACCAGACGAGGACTATCCAGAAGACACAAGCGGAAAGGATGATGCCAGTGGTGATGGTGTCGCTGGCGACCAGGGGAAGCACGAGGGCGCAAGTGCTCCAACTAGCGCAGCTGCACCACGTGTGGCCTCCACACACGACTTGCCTCCCACACCAGTTGCAACGACGACAACCGACGACACGAGTGGCGCCATTGATGCTCACGCTTATGGTGGTGATGGTGATCTTGATGTTGACCTTCAGCCTGATCCTGAGGAAGAGGTGGTGCTGATGACTCATCCACCAGAGCAGCAAGACGGCGGGGCAGCCAGTGCGGCACAGCAGCCCGACACCACAGCACCACGACGGCAGCAGCAGCAGCAGAAAAGTGAGGACGGAAGCAAAGAGAAGGACGCGCCAAAACCGCCCCTGCTGTCCCGCTTGCGCGTGTGGATCATCACGACGTGGAGGAGTGGACTGAAGGCCCTGCAAACACAACTGCACGAAGCAAACCATGTGTTTGAACCCCTGTGGCGAGGTATGTGCGTTGGTGTACTTGTGCGTGTGTGCGTTGGTATACTTGTGTGTGTGTGTGTGTTGGTGTACTTGTGTGTGCCGATTGCAGTTGCACGGTTGCGTGACCGACTGTGTTCCCCGCTTTGCCATTGTGTTCTAAGGTCTCACTGATTTTTAATGTCCCAACTCCACGCCGCATGTATGTGCATATGCGTTCGTGTACATGTGTTCGTGTGCATATGTGTGCGCGCAACGGCCATCAGACGACTGGACCTCCTCCTCATCGCTGTCGCCTTCGAGTCCGGGATGTGCGCGCTTTGACGAAGATGAGCCACCGCCGTCAGCAAGCAAGCCACCGCCATCCCTCTCCACGGAGCTGTATCGCTTCTGGAGCACGCACACGCACGTGCCATGCTACCTCCTGCTGATTATCAATGTGCTGGTGGAGTCGTCGTTCCTGGCAGTGCTGCTGCCGCTCTTCTACTTCCTCTGGGGCGGCCTTGTTCGCCCGTTCCCCTCCATCGTCTTCTGGAAGGCGCTCACCTTCTACTCCATCGGAACAATACGTACGGGAGCAGCGGGATCACGTGTTGGCGTTGCGTTTTGCGCTTGTGATGTTGTCACTGGTCCATTGCACATGCACACACGTCAACTCATCAGACAGCACAGCGCATACTACTCGCACACCGGGCACACTCGCATTTCGCACACACATGCACACGCACACGCACACAAGTGCACCAGTTCAATACCACTCACATGCTCTCTTCAAACACACACACCCACGCGCGTGTGATTAATTGCAGTGTTGAAGCTTGCGTTCCAGTTTGAGTTTTGGGGACAATTCAACGCTCCCGCGCACAGCGAATGCAGGCAGTCGTTCTTCAACGACGGCTGCATGGATTTCCCTCGCTTTCTCGGTCAGTCAGAAACGCAAACTTGGTGGTCGTGTGTGTGCATGCGTGTGTGTGTGTGCGTGTGTGCGTGTGTGCAAGTGCAAATGTGCGTGATCAGTGTCAGGGTCAGACATGGTTGGGTTTCAAACGCCTGTTGTGAAACCAGTTCAAGGGCTCTTGTTGCACACACACACACACACACACACACACACACACACACACACACACACACACACACACACACACACACACACACACACACACACAAACCCCCCCGCAAACGCACGCACGCACACACACACACACACATTGTGAACATAACCGACACACGCAACGACCCCACCACACACTCTTCATCTTCAGGCATTTGGCGGTATGCGGACACGCCGGAATTTCTTGTGGATCTGCTGCCAGACATGCTGCTGTTGCTGTCACTCTTTGTTCATCGCGTCAACCTGCGCTCCCTCGGCATGTGGCAGTACGTCAGACACACGCGCGCAACTGCTGCACACATCCTCCGTGCTTGCACCTACTTCATCTTGCTGCTGGAACGTGCGATGTTGCTCTTCTTTGATACGACAGAGACAGACAGACAGACAGAGAGGGAACCACAAATAGACAACCAACCACAAATAGACAACCAACCACAAATAGACAACCAACCACAAACAGACGCCCACACGCATACTTGCACATGAACACTCACTCAGACGGTGTTCATATGTCACTTGTATCTCTTGTCCCGTCATCTTCATCGCAGACCAAAAGTGTGGCCAGATATGGACATGAAGCCAGCAACAACAAGGCAGCAGAGGAAGAAGGACAAGCAGGCGCAAGATGCCATTGCCAGCGGCGGCAGCGAACACAAAGCACATGCGCTCGTGCGGTCTCGCACGCCCTCAACGGCAGTGACAACTGCTGAGGTGCTTCACATGGATGGTGACACCACAGCTACCGAACCACATTTCCATCATGAGCATGCTGACGTGTCGCAGCACAGCCGAACGCGAACAAGCACCTTGTCGTCGCTTCGCTCACGGCGGTCAGCAAGTGCGTCAAGCATCCTCTCTGGTGCAAGTACACACGACGATGGCTGGGCTCATGACCGCGACGACACCGACCACCACCGCCACCACCACCGTCGTCGTCATCGTCGTCGTCATCGTCGTGGGTCTGCCGCTTCGGGTGGCACATCGCTCCTGCACCGGTTCACAAAGGGTCTTCGTGATATTCTCGATGATTCACTGGCGGCGCCTCGCGACTACTACATTCCCTCGTTCCTGGTGGAGTTTTTGTCCTTCATTGTCATCTGTTTCGGGTGGTCTGGCTTCCGGCGCCGGGAACAGTTTGCTGTCAGCACAAGCTCCATCATCCAAGACAACAACATTCCATCCGGGCTCCTCCTGTACATGCTCATGCAGTTCCTGTTTATCATCGTCGACCGTGCCCTCTACCTGACGCGCAACGTGCGTGGAAAACTCATCTTCCACTGCCTCGTGGCCCTCCTCGTCCACTTTCTCGTGTTCTATTGGATCCCGTCCACAACCCGCCGCTCCTTCAGAGAGAACAGCGTCATCATTGTTCTGTACATCCTCAAGGTCGTCTACCTCTTCCTCTCCGCCGCGCAGATCCGTGCAACGTTCCCGCTCTCCGTACAGCGCAACTCGCTCACCCGCCACTCCACGCTGTTTGGGTTTGTTGTCTTCCAAGTGTACCGTGCCATCCCCTTCATGCACGAGCTTCGGATGCTGTTGGACTGGTCGTGCACTGCAACCACGCTCCACCTCAACGACTGGTATCGCGTCGAGGACATCAACGGGCAGCTGTTTTCCAACCAGTACACAATCAAGTCTGAGAAGAAGGATGGCCGCAGATGGGGCGAGAAGCAGCCACTCATGCAGAAGTTGGCCACCGGTGTGTCTCTCGTCGCCGTGCTGGTGATTGTGCTCTGGTTCCCGCTGCTCATCATGTCCCTCATCAACAACCGCGCGGAGCCGAACGTGCCCAACAGAGTGGAGATTTCGCTCAGTGTCAACTCCTTCGAGCCCATCTTCGTAATGGACACCGTGCCCACGCTTCCCTCCATCGCTGCGGAGGACTATGCGGAACTCGAGTCCGTCGATCCGTCCGGTTTTGTCAACAGCTTCAGGCAATCTGACGTCCAGCGCGTGCTTCTATCGCCACAGTCCAAGTCCGTGTGGACAATCTCTCCCTCGTCGCGCGCACGGTTGCTGACAACGCTTCGTGACAACACAACAGATGTCGTACTTGAGTTTACCGTTCGCTTCACGCGTGACGTTCGCGACGGTGTGGCACAAGGTGTGAAGTTAGTGTGTGTGTGTGTGTGTTTGTGTGTGTGTGTGTGTGTGTGTGTGTGCTCTTTGATTGTGTATGTGTGCGCGTGTGTGCGCGCGCATGTGGATGCACATTCGTCTTGGTGTGTAGACGCGATTGTGTGGTGGTGGCAGGGCCTGCTTGGCTCACACGCTGCAACGTGGCTGTTGGTTCCATTTTCACCTGCGTGCCAATGTGTCAGTGTCAACGGAGACGCGCACAACGACCATCTTGCCCGAAGAGCCAACAAGACTCCAGCTCTTGGAGGCACTCAACACATCAAACGCGCGCGTGCACCTCCCATTCGTCTACGCGTCCACATTCCACCTCAGTATGTCTGTGTGTGTGTGCATGTGTGCGTTGTGGAGGCGGCGACCTGTCCGAGTTCACCTGGTTCTGTGTGTGTGTGTGTGTGTGTGTGTGTGTGTGTGTGTGTGTGTGAACAACGCCCACATTGACATTTGATGTGTACGCGTGTGCGTGTCTTTTCGCACGACCTGCCAGGCCATGAAGACATGCCACGCCCACAATCAGCTCTCCCTGATTCCCTACGAGATCTGCTCGTCAACTGCACTCTCTTCCGTCAAATTGACGGCACGCACGAATGGTGGACCATGCTCCAGTCATCACCACACGTGGTGCGCGCCCGTGTCGAATCGTATGTGTGTGTGTGTGTGTGTGTGTGTGTGTGTGATCATGCATGAAAGGATGACGAATCCATCGAGCACTCACTCGGGCCATCCTCTTGCGCGCTCCATTCTGTCCCTCCTGCAGGCGAGTGCCACGGACAACCGCAACATCTCGCACTCCAAGTACCCCGCATCCCAGTGGCTGGAAATCGTCACCTTCAACGACCGCGTTGTGCCGGAAAGTCTATCCTTCATCAGCAGTTACGGCATCGTTGGCCTCTACGTCTCCGTGGTGCTCGGTGCGTCCCAATGCATGACACCTGTAATGTTGCTCATGCGGGTGTTGGTGATGTGGCCTGGTCGTGGTATGACTGCTTGCCCGTGAAAAGTACATTTCAGCGCAGAATGGAGATGTCACGGCTGTTTTGCACGCTGCCGCTGCTGTGCTAATCCGTGCACTTTGGTGATTGCGCAATGCACATGTTGTTTGTGTTCCATCAGTGATTGGACGATTTATCCGCCTCAGCGTCGACAACGTCTCCCACAAGATCATCTTCGAAAAGATGCCACAGGTCCGCCTGACGGTCGTGATGATGTTTGGGAGGGGTATGTGTGTGTCTGTGCTGTGTGTGTGTGTGTGTATGTGTGTGTGTGTTTGTGTGTCTGTGTCTGTGTCTGCGTGTGTGCGTTTGTGGTGCCCGGCATGCTACGTGCTCTCCCCCGCAAGAATTCACCGAAAACACATGATACACTGCATCATTCTCGATTGTCATGCGCGGGTGTAGGTGTTGGCTGTGCGAAGTGTCTTGGACGCACTGTACTTGAGTCGTGAGCACGGCGAGCTATGGACGGAAGAAAGCATCTTCCAACTTCTACTCCGGTTGTACCGGTCCCCTGAAGCGCTGCTTGTGTGGACAGATGAACAGCTCCTGCACGAGTACGAGCAGCAGCGGGCGCAGTCGACACCATCCACCGCCTCCTCCTCATCGTGAAGGGCAACGTGACACACGCGCGCACACACACACACACACACACACACATAAAGGTCAATTGACCTTTGCGACAATCATCACGTGCGTGCGAGCTTCGTTGGCGTTGTTGTAACAGCGCTTCCAGTTGCCCAAGCACGTCACAAGTTCAGTTTCGAGCCTCTCTAGTTGTGAAATAAAAGCTCAGAAGAAGTCACACACACACACACACACCAGTCAAATACAATTTCTACAAGCAGCAGCAGCGCCAACAACATGTGGTGATGACGATTACACGAGTTATTGGATCAACCAAGCGGCAAGGACAAGGCAAGACCAGTTGCAAGATGCAGCAGGGGAATGGCTCGCAATGCCACAGCAAGCAAGCAATCGAGCGTAGGCGATTCTGAGCTGTAGCCGGGAACAACTAAACCGTCAACGCCAGCCGCAACCTTGCACTCTCACATCACCATCTGTGAGAAGGGAAGTTGAGTGAACACCAGACACAACAATCATTCAAGCGAACGTGTAACGAGTGCAACGAAGATGGTTGTACAACAACCGAAGTCAGCAATGAACAAACTAAAGTCAAAACAACGGCATTCGCTACAAGGGGAAGGAAAGGGAACGAGCCTTCATAACGGATCAACATCTCAATCATCACGCACTGACACCTATGCTTCACACACACACACTTTCCTTGACGGGAGGAGGAGGTGGTGGTGGTGGTGGTGGTGGGAGCGGGGCTAGTTGAGGCGGTCGTAGAAGTGCGGGTTCTCTGCCGACGTGGGGGCGCGCATGTGTGTGCCCTCGAGCGAGTTGTATGTCTGCTCGCTCCTGTTGAGCTCCTTGTAGATGCCGCCCGCCGTGCTGTGGAACGTCGTCTGCTGCGTGCTGTGGTCCAGGCTGCTGTACACCTGCTCCGGTCCGCCCTCGTGCTGCAGGTGCGAGTACACGGGCTGCCCACCGCCCCGCTGCTGCTGCTGTTGCTGGTGGCGGCGAGCCGGCGCGGTTGTCCGCGTGGTCTGGTCCAGGCTGTCGTATGTCGTGTCCTGTGCGCTGTAGTTGGCACGCGCGTACTCGGCGTGGTTGGCGCCGTCTGTGTCAAAGTAGTCGTCGGGCTGCTGCCTGGCCGGGTCCGGCTGCACATACTGCGGCTGCTGCTGCAGGTCTGTTGGCTGCGCGTAGTCTGGGGCGGGGTGCATCCCTGGCTGCTCATACCCGGACGATGCTGAGGACGGCGTTGCCGGCAGTGGGCGCGGCAGTGACGATCCGCTCGTCGACTTCTGCACAGCAAACGAGGGAGAGAGGAGGGGAGAAGAGAGTAACGTGGGTCAACGCGTGCATGGCGGAATGTGTGTCTGTGTGTGTGTGTGTGTGTGTCTGTCTGTGTGTGTCTGTGTGTGTGTGTGTGTCTGTCTGTCTGTCTGTCTGTGTGTGTGTCTGTCTGTCTGTCTGTCTGTCTGTCTGTGGTGTGTGTGTGTTGCAAGCAGAAGCTGCGTAAAATCACTGTGCACCGCCACAAGTCAAAGGTACGTCTTCCTTGTCCCCATATGCCCTCTCCCTCTCACACCTGCATGTCGCGGGTGGACTTGACGCGGGTCACGTGCCGCTTCAAGGCGGCGTGGATGTCCGAGCCATCCTGCAGCGCCAGCACCAGCACCACCAACACACATCAGACAACACGCGCAAGCATGCACAGCACAGCACAGCACAGCGCCGTAATGAGCAAGGCAGCAAAAAGCGAGCAAAAGAGTACACTGAAAGCACAACGTCACATCACATCACAGCGCAGCACGCAACGCACCACGACAGTGTATCGGAACAGCTTCTCTGGCTCCGAGGCCGCCCGCCCCGTCTTGAACGAGAACACCCCGTCTTGCTGCGCGCGCATACGTATGCGTGTGCGTGTGTTGTGTTGGGGGTGAAATCAAGCGACGCACACACACACACACACACATACACACACATACAATTGTCATTGCCATGATCAAGCGACCACATGTGCGAGAGGAAGGAAGGCGCGCATGGCGCGCAAGCACGCACGTACACGCATGCGCACACACACACACACAGAGCAGCTGAGTGCACCTGTCCGTATGATCGCAAATGCTTCAGACTGAACGATTTGATGGCAGACGAAGCCCTGAGAAGAAAGCGCACCACAAGTACGAATCAGTGTGTGGCTGAAAATTGGAAAGCAGATGTTTCATGCAAGCGAGATTATATCTGACAGACGAGGGTCACTATCGTTCACTACATTCACACACATTCACACACACACACACACACACACAAGCAGACACACACACACACAAGCAGACACACACACACACACACGCATACACAACTACACACACACACAACTACACACACTCTCTCCCTCCCATACTTACTTTGGTTGGAAGTGAATCGTGTCGTTGGCCACCACCAAGAAGCCTTCCAGGTTGTAGTCGCTCTCCCGCACGCGAAACACCAACGCCCCTACATCATGTCACAGCATACCACCACAAACACCAACACAGGCACAGCCCATGCACAGTTGAGCGCTGAAGAGCAAATGACTTGACACGCCACAGCAACATGTTCCTGGTCGCGTGGCTTGATCTCTGCCCGATCTTCAACACAAACAACACAAACAACACAAACAACACAAACAACACAAACAACACACACATTCACACAAGCAACACAAACAACCAAACACACACACACATTCACATACAACAAGCACGCACCCAAACACACCTTTTTGAGAGGCTGGCCCCGTCTTGGGCAGCTTGCCGCCAGCGCCCTTCTTCGATCCCCCTTGTCCCATGATGATTATGTTGATGGCAATAACGACGATAATGTTGCTGTTGATGGCGATGACGATGACGATGACGATGACGATGACGATGACGATGACGATGACGATGACGATGACGATGACGATGACGATGCTGAAGGAGCAATCGCAGCAACAACAACAACAACAAAGCACGGCATCAACAACCACAAAACGTCAGTCATTTTCCACATGCACGAACACCGTAGCAAACACGCGCATAGCGAGAGCGCCTGTGTTGTTCTTCTTTGTTGTGCTTGTCCCTGTGCTTGTGTGGTTGTGCGGCTGTCTACACCAACTTGCTCACACAGAACAACACACCACCACTGACCACGACCGCTCACAACACAACACCTCCTCACCCTCACACCACACGCCACACCCACACACACAAAACACACTCGCTCGCAGGACCACAACACCCCTCAACCCACATCGCACTGTGCAAATTGCACTGCCCGCAATTGGCAACACATCTGCCTTTCAAGCGACACCACGAATGCAGCGTTTCCTGACTTCAGGGATCACGCGCCACACAAAATTATCCCCAGCCGTTGCTTTCTTGCCAAAAACCACAAAAGAGAACCACCGCACACCCAACGGGCCGCCTGACACGCAACAGCAGCCAGGCAGCAGCAAGCGTTGGAACGCATCGTGGTGGATATCACACGCACACAAACCCCAAGCAAGCAAGCAAGAGGCAAACTGTGCATTGAGGGTGACTATCCACAACAAACCACCAAGAAGCAAGCAAGCGGAAGCAAGCAAGCAAGGGACGCACGCATCACAGGAAGGACCACCCACCCTGGTTTGCGTTGTTGTTGTGACTGTGACACACAAACGAAATTATGGCGGACACCACCATCCCCAGCACAACCGGCACTGCAACCACAACATCCAC